GCGGCTACATGCAGATACTGAGAAACTAAAGTTCTGGCGGAGTCATCACCACCCGAACAAACGTACAATCGCCAAGCAGGCATTTGTTCCTGCGCATGCCATGATCACAGTGGCACCAGGTCCCAACATGAAATGAACGACCGCAAGGAAAAGACGCAGCAGCTGCTGTGATCCTCGCTTGCTACGTTATGCCCTACACCTATAACCAGCAAAGACTTCGAGTCTTGGGGGGGAAGCCCTGTAGAGTCCCATAGCCACTGTTGCTGCAACGCTACGGCCTGAGATGCCCAGCAAGGATACGTACCTCGGAGTCTGAAGCTTCTGGCTGGGGATTTCAACTCTCAGGATTTCTGGAGTCTAAAGGTGAGGGGCGTACGGGTCGGGAGTCGGGGCATCGAGCCTCATCCCAAAGTTCCGAATCGTACCCATTGTACCCATGGCCCCCCCCCACCCCCCCATGATTGTAACATATGTGCAAAGTCCCGCGTTCAGAGCCGCGAAGAGCATGGTTACCTCTGAAAGCATGATACCTCTGGTGCGAAGTTGTCATGTGTCCTGCAATCCATTCTATGGATCCACTTGGGGGGTTGACGAAAGTAAGGTTAGAATAAGGAGCCCAAAAAAAGGTACCTCGAATATCGTGAACCCAGTGAACCCCCACTTTGAGTAAGGCCGATGGAGCCTATGTCTTACCACATCCTCCAACGAAAAGCACAAACAAACATCGCGGGCGGCTCCCTGTGCACAGTTCAAAGCTTTCGCACGCCTTTTCAAGCCGCTGAGGCCATTCTCAACTCTGAAAGTCCTCACAGAAAGCTCCTAAACCCTAAGCCCTAAGCCCTAAGCCCTAAACCCTAAGCCCTAAGCCCTAAACCCCGCTAAACCCTAAACCCTGAACCCTAAACCCTAAACCCTAACCCCTAGACCCCAAACCCTAAACCCCACTAAACCGTAAACCCTAAACCCTAAACCCTGGTGCCGATTGGTGCCCGGTCGCCATGGCGCGGAGGCAGCGAAGCCCACAGCGAAGGCACGGCTTCGGGGGAGGTCTGGGAACCTGCTGCCGGCATTTGAATCTCGAACTCAGTCGCAGAACTTTCGGGCGCGTTGCTGCTTTTACCAAGGGTTTTTCTTGAATTCGTTTTCTGCTTCTGATGGGTCACGCAGCGAGAAGAAGATGGACCAGCTTCGGCGCAATGAGGTTCAGGGGCTTAAGGTACCGCTGCTGCTGCCAGGTTGCGTCTGTGACTCGAGCTGTGATCTCTTTAGGACGGTTCTTGTCTGGGCGCCCAGGACCCAGCACACTGACGTTGAACGCTTCCTACGCCAAGTAAGCCGAACGCCCTCTGGAAAAGGGTGGCCTCTCAGTGAGCAAGGCAACGGCGACCTTGAGCAAAGGGCGAAAGTGTGACGAAAGTACTCGCGAGACTCGATTGGGATGTTGACGTGTGCTGAGCCACATTCATGCCCCTGAAGCACGTGAAGTTTGCCTGCTTCAGGCTCAGCAGAACCCCAAAAAAAGGCTACAGAGATGTCGGAAGTAGCTGCCAAGACTTTGAGACATATGACATATCGCAAGTTCCCAGGGCGCGAAACCGAATTTGCTCTTCGGCCGATCTTTCAACCATCAAGTCAGGGCACTCCACGGAGTACCTTGGAGGATGGGCTTCCGCACAGAACACCCTAAACCCTTTTACGGCTAGGACTGCTGCACTGCCCTAAACCCTAAACCCTGAACCCTAAACCCTCAACCCTAAACCCCACTCCCCCGCTTCTGCCCCCCCATCCTCGATTAAGTTTCACTCGGAGCCTATGAGCAGGGGAGTCCGAGAAAGCAGTTCTATCTCTCGTTGGGGCACGCCAAGACAAGCTCCAAAGCCTCCACAGAAAGCTCCTCCGGGGGCTCAATCTGATGATCGTTTGAGCGGTTCTGGTTGCCAGGAACTGTTGCTTTCACACCCTTGAAGCGCAATGCATTAACATCACTACAAACCAGGATGGGCTATTAGGCCGTATAACCCCTTAAAAGGCCTGTTTATGGGGGTTAATAGGGCCTGGCAGCCCATCCTGGAAATGCTTCTTTAAAACACCGAGATGCTCAGGCCTGTGATGGCAGGGGCATTTGGATCCGCAGCATCCTCAGACCGAAGTGATGGAAGGCTCGAATATGGGTTTAGGGTTTAGGGTTCAGGCTTTCGGGATGCATATCCAGGTCGTATGCAGCAACATACTGTGCACCAGGAACCTCATCGCTAGTCCTTAGCACACCTACGACAACTGCGAAAATCGCTGGAAGACCCCAACATCCTAGTACTGTAGACAACTCTGAATAAGTTTGAAGTCAGTAGCCCTGCATCCTCACTCCATCACAAAGCCTGCCTTAAGGAGGTCGCTTGTATGCAGCTAGTTGGGATGTTTGAGCTGACAAAACCAGCCCTTAATAAGGGATTATAGGTCCTATAATAGGGACATACTGTAATCCCTATTAAGGAGCGTTCGTTCAAAGGAGTTATGAGTTGCAACAAGGACCTCAGCTGCATGAAAGGTGCTGGGATGAGGCGCCCGAGCCACGGCTCAGGTGCCGGCACCGTTTGGCGCTGTGTCTTGGGCGCCTGACTTCGCAAGTGTTCTCCCCCTTGGGTTCAGGGTTTAGGGTTTAGGTTTAGGGTTTAGGGTCTAGGGTCTAGGGTTTAGGGCTCTCTCTTCCAGATAATGGTTTGGTTCACGGATTCTGTCTGCAGCTACAAGTAAGTTTCGGGCCCCAATCCGACATATACAAAAAAAGGCGCCAATCCGAAAAAGAAGGCCACAGTCGGAAAACGTTCAAGCATAAAATGAAGTGGCTCAGCGCGAAAGCGCGACAATTGTCGAGCGAGCGAACGCAACCGCAACCGAGAGAAGAAGAAAAGCTTGGTCATTTGGTCAATCGCGTGTGTCCGGCAGCCCCAATCCGAAAACAAAAACCGTTAATCAGTCGGAGAACGTGAAACCAAAAAGCGAGTGCCAAAACTCCACAAGCTTGACTAAAATCCGATTTGCAAAACCGATGAGGCTTTCGCTATGCGGAATGAGCCTGTTTGTTTTCTGAATCTTGCCGAGGTGAAACGGGAGCCTTAAGAGCGTGAAAGATCAAGATGTTTTACCGATGAGGCTTTTGTTTTTCTGAATGCGCCTGTCTATTTTCGGACTGGGGCGTTGCCGTTGTCTGACTGAGCCCTCTGCGGTTTCTGACTCGACCGGTGTCGCTGTACTGAAAAAGTTCTACGTACCGACGCCGGCGTTTTCCGACTGACGCTGCTCTCGTCTCCTTCTGACCTCCCTGCTTGGATGACTCGCCAAGAAATGACACAAAAGCAAGACGATCATCAATCTGCAGAAAGTGTTCCTGTTCAGGCCGCGTGCTGTCTGGATCAACCACCAACCTGAGGCCTACATTAGTTCTAGAACCTTGCTGTACCGCATGGTTGCAGCTGCAATAGTTGGCAAGTTCAAGCGCTGCGGTGACTCCCCTGCCTTCGTACCGACAGCTGCAGGTGCAGGTCGCCTGAGGAGATTCAGTGAGCCCATATTGAGCCCCCCCCCCCCACCCCAAACCCTTCTTGCCCTAAACACAAGTTTGTTGACTTCTTTGCAGCTGACAGCGAGCGATCGACATCTAGAAGCTTCCAATGCTTGTCACCGAGCCCTGCCCTGCCAGTGTCACGAAACGACTCGTTGTCAACTGTCGGCACCTAGACGGCACTTCCCTAAACCCTAAACCCTAAACCCTAAACAGCTTAGCACTCACCAACCCTGTCCTGCCATGACTGTTTTCGAGAGGTCCAGGGAACTCTTGCCAAACTTTCTTAAATTTCGAGCCTGTGCTGTCGTTGCCACTTTCGGGGACATAGGGGCTTTTGAAGATAAGGGACCCCTAAAATGCACCCCCAAATAATAGGATTCCCTTATAATACGGACCCCAATAGGGTACCCCTAACATCAACATCGTAAACCCTGCCAATAGGTCCTAGTAGGTGCAAGCAGGTGATGCTCGCAGGCGTGGCCTTGAGGATTCCGCCACGGGGTCGAAGTCCAGGCACTCACGCACCTTTTGGAGGAAAAAAAAAAACAGCTACACGTGCTTGGGCGAGGACTTATTTCGCACCTTGATTTCTGAGCGTTTTGTACATATTCTTTTGGGTCTAGGCTTTCCGATTCAACAACAGAGGAAATAGAGGTGTTTCGATGACAGTACAGACGAAGTAGAGAAAAAGTCAGCGGGCCTACCTGGCACTTGGGAAGGGAGGAAGCAACAAAACGGCTTGCGCTGTTCTTCTTCCGAGCTTCCTGGGGCTCAAAAAGCCGTGGAGCAAGCAAAACAAAACAGCAACCTCAAGCACAAAGCACTTGCGTGACTTCACGGCCCCATAGGCTGTGTCATGCCTGGAGAGTTTATACAAGGTCTTGGACCCCATGTGTGTCAGCGGTTGGGCCCTGAACCGGCCTCCTGCCACGTCCGTGTGCCGCTCATGCTATGACTGGTATTATGGCCCGATGTTCACAACGCCGAGGTACTGTACATGTGCTGCGGAATGCTGACTAACTTCATCGCAATTGACCTACCCTTTTGCACGTCTGCAAGAAGAAGCGTAGCACACACATACACCCAATTATCTTAGCGCGGTGTTGCAGTGTACGAACTTAGCGTGCGACTTGCTGACATGAAGCCAAAGCGGCCACAAGGTGATGTAAGGTGGACCCAAAACCGGTTGACCCGCTTGAACCTCGAGTGATCAAAAATTCGTTTTCGGCAATGAACGGCTAGTTTATAGGCCACTCTGCTCCACTTTCCGAACTGTTGCATTCAAACTTCTGCTCTCTTTCAACCCAACAACCCTGAACCCGAAATCATGGAATTTACTGAACATATACAATCGCCGCTGATTCAGGGCTGAGGCCGACAAAGACAATAGCAACGGTTTCGGGGTTTTTTGTATGGTGTAAGGATCATAGGGAGCATCCTCGACCGCCGTCCGCAATGCGCCGTCCAACGGAGCGCCCGCAAAACTCGCGTTGCTGGACGGCGCATCCTCCCGCAGATAGCAAGGGACCGAAAGCTTCGTGGGAGCTGCACGAGAACTAAAGTCAGGTTCCACAGTGGCAGAAGCTCCATGCATGGGTGGTATATGGCAGGTTCCGGCACACTGTGTCATTCGTGACGTGGCCTCCGCCTGGCTGACGTGAGTACATTGACACGTTCGTACCCTGACCCTCGCACTCTGTCATCTCCTCGTCCCAGCCGACTGCGACTCCCGCTTCCGCAAGCCCGTCAATGCAGAGGCGGAGTAATTTCCGGCGGAAGCCGCTCCTGAAACTGTGCTCAAGTCATAAAAAGTAGGTCACCTGTCAACAGCGACAATCTCTCCTGGCTGCGTCGTCCATCAACTGAGAAAGCTGGACAGCGGAAAGCCTGTGACCGATCGGAGGGTGTATTGATCTTATTTTACTGACTGGATCTAGGGACGCATTGCTGTATCACTATTGACGACGCCCATAGCAAGCAGCTTTCCGAGCTCTGCCCAAACCTTTGGGACACCATTTGTTCAGCTCCAACAAATGCCTAATGCAAACAATGCCACGGTGAGCCAGAAGAACACGAAACTCAAGCCCTCTTCCAGTATTGAGTCGATCCTATCCTCGCAGGCCTCCGCCCGCGGAGTCGTGCCAAAGCCGAAGCTTCCGACACGCGCAGTGCGTCACGAACGGCACCGAACTCATCCTTTCTGGCTGGAGAGCGGCTGCTTATTGTTCAGGCCTGCTGCCACTCACCACAATTGAAGAACCCACCCTTTGCATGTCAACCTCGCCTATGCACTTTTGATTCCTCTGATCAAATGAGCTCCCTGGGCTCTGGAACGCAGTTTCATCGGCATCCCCATAACAGGGTAATGGTCGTTCAGACCACCAGCCTGTGGAACAGGCACTGCAGTGAGGCGGGAACTCGTCCCACCCGGTGTAGTGCCGGCCCAGAAAAAGGGCAAGCCGCTCTTTTCGCACTCGCGCTGTTAGACTAATGCCATGGGGGGGGGGGGGGTCCGCCAGAGGGTGGAGAAGCCTAAAAAAACAATGCTGGTAGATGGTTTTGAACTGCCAGCAAGGGCACATCCTTTCGTCGCCCAATTCAGGTGATACATCCCAGTTATCGTGTGAGCGTAAGGCGATCCACTGACATGTGCTTTTGGGATGAGGGTTCTGGGCACCGGGAACGTCAAAACCAAACATCTCAATAGTACAGCTTTTGAAGGCTTATCAGGCATGCTGAAGGTGACGACATCCCGCAAATGGGGACAACTCTAGCCGAGCACTTGGCCTGCAAAGGGTGGCATTGCGTGAAATATAACTTTGTGGAGGGCCAGTGGCAGGCAAGTTTTGCTTCACAGCGGGGCTTGCAGGGACAATCGTTCACATGCCTCCTAAACCCTAAACCCTAAACCCTCAACCCTCAACCCTTCTTGAGCATGTCTGCAGTTGCGAGCCTCATTGAGCTCGCCTTGCGGCACCATCTGCGGAGCCGCGCTGGTGAGGGGTAGCTGTGCACGAACCTCTCTTCAGCCAATGATGATTGAATTGGGCATCCACTATTGAAAGACTCAGGAGCTTGGCGCCGAAGAATTGCAGGGGACTGGAGATGATCACGAGGGTTAGAGTTCTTTTTGAGAGGCATGTTCGAGGATGTTCTTTGTGACTTGGGAGGGCAGCTTCGCCGGGGCTCAGCTCGGCCTTCGGCTCACCTCCACTTAGCAAACTGAAGCTTCTGCCCTCAAGCAAGAACCGATTAGCCCGAAGTGTCATATCCCAGAGCTCCTGCCTTCGGGCTCAAGCGTGCCAGAAGATAGTCGACCTGTCAGTTTTCTTGCATCAGCTTATACCGCAAGGGCCAGGAAGACTGCAGGACCGTCGTGATGGCGTCTTTCTGGCTTGATTTTAAGACTGCGGTTCTGCCACTTGCTTGCCCCACAGGACCCCAGTGATTGCTCTGGCCTGGAGCGGACATCGATACTTGCCCGTCCCGGCCTGCCCCTCCTTTCCCCCGCAAGGGCAACCCCTCCCCGCCCTTGCCTTTATTTTCCTCAACATAGCCACATTAGGGCCTAGGGCGACTGTGACACATTGGGAAGCTTGCCGCACTTTGCCACCCAACATAACCACCTGCGAACTGGGGGGGGGGGGCAGGCTTGGCAGGCTTGCCCCACACGCCCCCAGATAACGTTAGCGGACGTAAACGGCTTCAAAGCTGGATTAATGGATGAGAGCCCTAAACCGTAAACCCTAATGTTGACTTCACATTAGTGGATCCCGCCGCAATTGTAAAATCCCGCTGCCGGAACACAATAGTGTAGCCCGCCACAATTGTAAAATCCGACCCGGGAAATCCGGTTTTTACGGGCGTGGTGCTACTACCTAGTACTAAAACTAATAGTACGTCCTACCAGGATTTAGGCGAACATTATTGAGGAGGCCCTGGCCGGAGAGATTGATCAATGAAGGGGGGGGGGTTTATTAATGCGAAAACCCTAAACCCTAAACCCTAAACCCTAAACCCTAAACCCTAAACCCTAAACCCTAAACCCTAAACCCACACCAGGGCCGCACCCCGCGACCCGCATTGGGATCGGCCCCCAGCTCCAGGAGCCGCAGCGCAGCGCGATCCTTCAGCAGCTTACATGTAGGGTTTAGGGTTTAGGGTTTAGGGTTTAGGGTTTAGGGTTTAGGGTTTAGGGTTTAGGGTTTAGGGTTTAGGGTTTAGGGTTTAGGGTTTAGGGTTTAGGGTGCTTGAGGCGACGCAGGGAACGCAGAAGTAACCCTGCTAGCGCAGCAAAGCAATAAACAAGGCTGCATATTTCGAACTTTGTTCTTAACGCTCTTCATGGTCTCGATATCGCTGTACACATCCTGACCAGTAACCTGTTGATTTGCATGTTATCCTTTGCTGCTAGGGCCATGCAGAGCCAGAGAGTTTCAAGATCACCGGCAAGGGTGCGCCATACCGAGCGAGGTACCACACAGCCACTTTCTGAGGCACTCACTCCTGACGGAGTGATCGCCAGCTCCAGCCCGACCACTGCATGCAAGTTTGGCCTTGCCCTCACTCGTTGAACCGATGATCTCGAATGGCGGCTTGAGCATCTACATCTGTGCTCATCGTCCTTCTTCTTCCGGGAAAACCCCGTGAAGCGGGGCATTCTCGGATCAAGCCGTCGAAGGCCGTTCTCAAAGCGCTATCGGTGAAAACATCGGGACAGTATGTCTGCATGGCTCGCTAATTTGCTTGGAAACGCCGGCCTTCTTCACAGGCCTATGCATTGTCACCTCTTGGTGTCCTGGCCTATGAATGCCCACACATGTCTACAGAAGATGCCCCCACAGACATGGAGGGACCACACAGACCCTCAAGCCCGGTCCTTCCCCGCATCTGCTGCCCTGTCTAGTGCAGTGGCCCCAAATAGGGGGTCCTGCCCATGCCAAAGCTCTTGAGGAAATGAGGTGCCTACATTTTGAAGGAATAGCTTTTTGGATAAACCAGTTTGCGTTTGGGCAGCCTGCTGGACAAGCATTGGGAGTTTTTTTCACAACAGAGAAATGCTCGCTTCTTTACGGTAGGTAAGTCGCATCGTTTCTTGAGCCAGTAACAGACAACATCGCAAGGTTCGGCTTTATCCCCGGCTCCTTGTCCTCCGAAGGAGATACAAGAGCCGGGTAACATATGTAATGCCATAGCAATACTACTCAAGATAAACGTGCTGTGGCTCGGGTATCGTTGACAGACAGTTTAGGAGTTTAGAGCTGTTGCGGTTCAGGGATTGTGGGGTTTAGGAGTTCTACAGTTTTAGGGATTAGGGCCTTTAAGGCTTCGGTTTCGGGATTTGAGGGTTTAGGTGAGGGTTCAAGGATTTTGGGCGCTCGCTGGCTTCAGGGCGGGGGACATTATAGGGTTTAGAACTTAGGTTTGAAGGCTCTTGGGATCGAGCCCAATGCTCGCTTGGATCGAGGGATTTTAGGGTCTTCAGAGCTTGTAAGCCTTGGATTTGGGCGCTCGCTTGCTGCGTGTGTTGACTTGTTTGCTGGCTGGCTCACACGAAGATCAAACCAATCAGAAACCTTCCCAGAACGCAAGAACAACGATGCCAGCAGCTACGCAGACAATACCACCACCAAAGCGTATCCATGAAAAGCGTCCTTGGAGTTGATGTCAGCACCGCAGTCGTTGATCAAGCGAGTGAGAAACCTTGTGGCTCATTGCTCAGTATTGCTGAAACTCTTTGACTCGACCCTTCGACGCCTTGTGCCATGCAACCCTAAACAAACATCGCGGGTGGATCCCTGTGCACAGTTCAAAGCTTTCTCACGCCTTTCAAGCCGCTGAGGCCATTCTCAACTCTGAAAGTCCTCACAGAAAGCTCCTAAACCCTAAGCCCAAAACCCTAAACCCTAAACCCTAAACCCTCAACCCTGAACCCTACATCCACCACATGTGGCCGGGGCATCCTGCCATGTAGCTCCATCATTCCCTGCCCTGCAGCCGCCCGGAAGAGCGGGTTGACGTCCCTGAGCTGAGAGTACTGAAGGACTGAAAACCGATGAGGGACGATATGAAATATCAAGCGCCTGCCCATAGTATACTGGGAGGTTCATGAGAATTGGGCCACACACGGGGGCTGGGCCCTTTGAGATTACGTACCCTTTGGAAGCTGCAAATTCCAACAAGCCCTAAACCCTAAACCCTAAACCCTAAACCCCAAACCCCAAACCCCAAACCCCAAACCCTAAACCCTAACCCTCCCCTAAACCCTAAACCCTAAACCCGAAACCCTGAACCCTAAACCCTAAACCCTAACCCTGAACCCTAAACCCTAAACCATGGCAGATACGCCTGGGCCCAAACTGACTTCACTGCCGAGGCTCAGCTGAGACGTGTCGCCCGATCCGCTGCCTAGTCTAGGATATTTGGGGGCTTACGAAACCCAAAATAGACCCCCAAAAAAATATTGCCTTATAATAAGGACCCCGATAAGGTTCATTTAATATCGTAAACCCCCAATACCCCTTAATTAAGGAATATAGCTTAAATTATAAAGGGTTCTTTGTTTGATTGAAAGAATATTCCTTAATTAAGGGGTTTTGGGCTCCTTGGGCAATGTTGGGGCCAGCTATGGCCAGAAGACTTGTGGTCGAAGCTGGGGCAGCCTGACTCGCCACAGTTGGATACATTCTTGGGCTTGCCCAAACCCACCCTGTCCAGGGCCCCAAATTCCTTCTCTTGCACTAACGTGCTGAAGATTTCGCCCTCGGCAATCCTCACCATAGAAACCTCGCAGAAAAAGCATGCGCCGGGTCACCTTGGCCCATGGAAAGCAGTGCCAGCGCGGCCCGCTCACTGCGCGCCTCCTGCGAGATGGGGGGTTCCGAAATTATGGGTAACTTGTTGGGGTCCTTATTATAAGGGAGTCCTCCTATTTGGGGGTCAAAATGAGGGGTCCCTGATTATCGTAACCCCTAGATTTAATCTTTCCCATCCCAGGGCTCTCGAACCTTTACAAGTGGCCTTTAAGCTGTGGTGTAAAGTGGCCGTACTTGGGATTCGAAGCCAATATACCTTTCTGGGACCTTAATGAAGCGCCCCATAATCGGGGGCCTTATCAGGCCCTATCATCTTGTTTTGCCAATGGGGCTTTTCGGAGTGCTTTGACCTGCATCTTCTGGTTATGGAGTTGCCTGGCAAGCCAGGAATGAATCCCAATCCCTACGCAGTCCCAGCAGCCTTCACTGCTGCTTCCAAGGCGGCATCAAGAGCATAGCGGCCAAAGTTCCTTGAATACCAAAACGAAGGATTAGAGTATTAGAGTTTGGAGGCCTCATGTGGATCGCTCTTCCGGCTCGAGACAAAACCATGGTCCTCTCCAACAGTTCAGCCCCACGACGTGCCCCATCTGTGTGTGAATGTTGCAAGCGGCGAAATTCTCATAGTGTTGGCATCTCGCCCCGTCAACACTATCGATAGCGAAGATGCGACGCCCTTTTGCCTTTGGTGTCAAAACTCTCCCCAGCCCAAGCCCTCCACATCCATCCTGTGGAGGCACGCTGCAGCTTTGCTGTCCCTCCCCAGTACATGGAGGTGAGCATGGGCAACGAAGCAAGGGACCCAAACCTGACCAGCGGGGGGATAAGGAGAGGAAGAAAAACAGCAACTGGATGGCACGGTCGGATACAACAGACGGGCATTGCTTGTACCGTGCCTCTTACTCTTATTGACCCGCCTTTCTTGCATGTTCATGTTACGCTTCGCGGTTTTTGCCTGTTTTTTGGAGGTGTCGGCTTTGGGAGCGTGGTGAGTGGAGGAAAGGGCCACTGGGGGTTTGTAGGTCCGGGCGCGATCGACCGACCAGTTCTGAGCTCCATATTCACCGACTCTGGCTTGAGGCTGCGTGGCTCAATACCTTCCGAATGAATGTGAAGCTTTCTTGCCGGCAGGATTCTCACTGCAGTCGTGCTCAAGGGACCAATCGAGGGGAACACCTGGGCTTCGAAAGGAGGTACGGGCAAC